TTCGCGTCTTTTCCTTGCTCAAGACCAAAGCTGGGGGTCACTTGGAAGCGGCCAGGATACAACGTCTGTGCCTCCTCGAAGGTCATTGTTGGTCCCATCGTACCAGCTCTCACTTCTTTTTGCGTCTTCTCCCAGATGGCTTGGGCCAATTGTGGGGAACCGCGGCGCGCCATGTACTCAACCCTTCTGATCAATGCGCGTGATCTCTCCTCACTTCCACTAAGGAAATCCGCCCACGACATTGTAGGAGGCACTTCCAGTTTCTTGAAGAATGGGGATTCGTGAGCACGTCGAGTGATACGCATGCCTTGTAAACAAAGTTCGGTGTCCTCGATGTCCAGACGCGTTTGCATTCTTTCCATGAGCAAGGCGTTGATCTTTGTACCCAACTTTTTTGCAGTCCACGCGGCTGTCTTGTTCACTTTTGTCTGAGACTCTTTTAATTCTTCCCTCCAGGAATGAGGCATCTTGAGGGAGTCCAAACGCCTTGTAATCAACGTCTGCGAGTCTCTGAGCCTTTCCAGCGCTTGAACATGCGACGCCGTTGGTCTTTTGACAATGCTGAAATTGTGTGCATCGTGGCCTACTTCAAATGTGGGGAAGGCCTACAGGGTTCAACCAACGCCCAACTATGGGTGGGTTTAGTGGCTTGTGTCAGAAACAGTCAAAAGCAAGTGATTGTCATGGGAGATTTCAACATCACGCCTGAAGTTTTCATGACTACCACAATGGCCCAGCGCATGCAAGTTCAAGTTTTGGCTACAGGCGAAGAAACCTGCAACGCGGGCAATGAAATAGATTGGGCTTTGGTGTCGACTCCGCTGATTGCTGACCTCAAGGTCCAGACAAACTGGTTAGTGCCTTTTAAGCCACATGCCATGCTGCAATTTCAACTGGACGGTCATTTTGAAGAGTGACTGCATACCATCCACATCCTTCAAGGATTTGCTTGTGCACATAATGGAAATGCATGCTCTGTGGGTGTAAAAGCATCATGCCTCCATGGGTTCCGCCTTTCACCGTTTCAGCAGCAGGTTCTCCCATGACCCCATAGCCTCTGACGGACATCCACTGCATCATCTTTGCATGGAAGATGGGCTGCCTCTTCTTAGTGAGAAGCCATTGCCGAACTTGCTGGCCCAGGTTCGTAACATTTGCAAAATCAAAACTGATCCCTTCTTGGCATCTTTTTTTGGTGCTGGTTCAATTGTTCGAGCAACTGTTCAGAGGGAACTGCCCACATTTGTTGCTTCATTTCTTCCGGCAATTGTGCTGTTGGTCTGGGGAAAGCTCCATCGTCCACTAACCAGCTTAGTCCTCTGTACATGAAAACTGCAAAGAAATGCCCACGCTGATGTTCATTTCCAGAGTGACATAGGTACCCAATCACAGAGTATTGCTTGGTTCTGGTCTCATTGCCATCGTATGTGACGGGCAAATTGAAGATGGACGGAACCTGCAGCGGTCTATGGTGCTTGGTCCACTCTCCATTGGCTTTGGTGTATCTGCCAATTTGCCCCACCCACAGTCCATGTCCATCAAAGACCTGTCCTTCTTGGGTTTTTGCCCATTCAGCAATGAGATTTTCCAAATCCTCAGGTCCGTGGTCAGCCGGGTAGATCAAATGGATCGGAAAAGCTTTCTTCTGCCGCACTGCCTGTCGAAAGTCAACCTGATGATAACTCTGTATCACTCGAGCTGAATCCGCCAGGTTCACCATCTCCTGTAAGAAATGCGAAGCATCATCTTGAAACTGATCATCAAACTTCCTCCAGAGGGGTCCTAAGCCTTCTAAATTTGGCAGGTGAACTATGTCGTCCTCTTCTAGAGCAGCAACAACAGCTGCAGTAGAAGTTTTGTTCCACAGCTTTGGTCCCTCCAGAAAACTGCCTGCCCAGGCCCAAAGTCTGAAGGCCGAGTTGTCGAAACATCGATTTCTTGGATTTCCTAATCTGCATTGCAAATTTTGAGCAACATAGTCAAGTGGGCTCATCGGTCCACTTGAAACGCCGGTCATGGTTGACCGAGGATCTTCTTCATCACTAACAGGAACCACATTGTCTTCAGCTCCTGCTCCTCCACAAAAACCAGGATATGGAGTTCCTGGTCCCCCTACCAGACGTTGATCATCTGAATGCCCCATCTCAGACATGGCGATAGCAACCAACATCATTGTCTCCACTCTTCCCCAAGTTGAAGACTGCTGAAAAGGTTGTTTCACCCCTCATTGCCTGCCTGTGCTGCTCAGGCGGGTTACCCACACTTTCTCCTTTTTGCGGCACTTTCAACGAGCTTCACAGCCAGGTCTTTCACCTGTGCTGAGGTGGCTTGAAGTCCTACCGAAGCCATCGCTGTGATTAGTGCCTCTGGAGTGAGCTCTTCTGCCATTTCTTCAGCATCCTTTTGCTTTTCTTGTTCAAGCTGCTGGTTGTATTGGGTCGTCGTATTTTGCAACTCTTTTTGCACAATTTCAATCCTGCCTTGGAGATCTTTGAGCTCCTGAAGTAGCTGGGTGTATTGAGCCTTGACCGTGTCCACCTTGTTCTGCAAGGAGGTCTTCTTCTCGGACAGCTGCTTCAGGGTTCCTACTGCCTGTTTGACCTTTGAGGCCAAAGTGGGCTCTGCTTTCGCTGGTTCCACGATCTTCTCCACTGCTTCTTTGAGATCAGAAGGCAAACTTTGGAGGTGCTCTTTTATCAAAGAGGTAGGTCTGGAGCCGCTGGTGCTTCCACCACTTGTAGGCCAAGGGCCGTGCACTGGCTTCTAAAAGCCTCAGGAAGTTGATCCCAATGATCTTTCATCCCTTTTGCATGCCTGTTTCCTTCTCTTTCCTGGCCTTCTTTTTGGTCTGTCCCCCGGTCAGGCCCGGAGGGGCTTCCAGCAAGGCGTCCTTGTAGCTTTTCTTTGGCCAACGATGGCCAGCACCCCCAAAATTCCATCTTGCCCAAGTGACCTGTGGTCGCCGGCGTAAATCTGGAAGTACATCCTTTTGCCACTTTCTTCCGCATTGATTGCACACCATGTTGGGTTTGCCCACCAGCCTGTCTTCCCAGCCCCAACTGCATCGACAGCTGGTGCAAACCCTATAGTGCCTTTGCATGTTCTCCTGCTTTGTCACGATCTGGCCCAGCTTCTCCTTTGGGAAGAGGTGACCGTGACGGTCTGCTCTGCACCAACAGCCGGTAGCTGAGGTACTTGATGCTGAAATGGCTTGAGCCTTGAGCCACGCTCTCGATATGTATATATATATATTATATATATATACAATACACAATCCCAGCCACTCGGCGGATTCTGCAACGACCAGCCTTGTAGAGCGCTTGCATCACGCGAAATTCCCGGTCCACTGCGTGCGCACCTCGGATCACCTTGCCTGAGTCCGCACCCCGTGGCACAGAATAGACAGGTAACTTCGGCAGTCAAGGTAGAAGGCGATTGCTGGTACCTAATAGCGATGGCCTCCAACCTAAGGCAAGCTTGCTGCTGCTAGTAGAACTTCTGTGAATGTAGAGACGGTAAAGAGGTTCAAGACCAGCCAAATCCAAAAGTCACGGAAGCAACCATGTCTCCGACCCGCCTGGCGGCTGCTTCCGCAGGACATACCTAGAGAAATGATCAGCGCAGCCGCAAGTGGTGTGGCTTCTGCTCTGAGGATGATGGAAAAGGTGTGCGGCAATACGCTGATGTGCGGCCATGAAAGACCCAGCAAAGCATCAGCAACATACACATCCCAATTCCAACTGTTGGCCTCCTATCATTTGCTTCCAGGCAGTAGGTTGGGTTCGACCTCAGTCACTGACAAAATTAGACAAAATGGAAAATGTGTGGAACATGTTCAAGCAACTAAAGTGTAATGTTTTGTAACTCACTGAGCTCCAGCTGGCCATATCCAAACTTCTTCACGCTCAGAGGCCCTTCGACGCCAGGAAGCCCCTGGGCAGTGGAGAGTCTTTATGGTTAGGTCACACCAAATGTTTAAGAGAGGTTGGTTGGATTAGAAGAAGCCAGCGCTTTAGTTTTGCTTTTTGATTGATCCCAAACAAAAGTCCAGATGTGCAATGGTTTAGAGGCCAAAAGCACGGTTCAGCAAGTAAAGTTCCTCTCGAGGAACGAAAAAACATATACAGTATATCACTTCTGCAGAGTGGTGCCTGTCGCGCCAAGAACGCCTGCAGGGCCGCCTCATCAAAACGAAGGCGCTCCTGAAGGTCGTAGCGTAGTCAGTGGAGGGGATCCCAACAGACCAAGTTACTACTAGTAAGGCACTTGTTACTAGTAGCGATGCACTTGTTACTACTAGCGAACATTGTTACTACTAGTAAGGCACCTGTTACTACTAGTAAGGCACTTGTTAGTTGGAGGCCATCGCTAAAGTCCTTCTGAGCCAAACAAAAGCGTTGAAGCCATTGTCCAAAATCTGATGACACTGCAGTTTACATCGCGTCCCAAGAGCCGGATCCAATTTCCATCGCTTGACACGCTGTTGCGTCTAGGATCCACATATCAATCGTCCACCATCGCTCGAGCTACGGTGGAAAGAGTGACTTTCGCTCCACCGTTGGCTCCTCCACTTCCACGGTCTTCTGACTGGGATTCCGCATGGCTGGGCAGTGGGCGCGGTGGTTGATCTTTTAAGATGCTCGGTGTGAAGTTGGCATACTTGCTTGAACTTTAGGCTGGCTACACCCACCTCCGGCTACACTGCAGTGAGCTACTATATGTTTGCTTAAGCTGATGAGCATACCGCACACCTGGTCTTCTCAGCATGTCTTTTAGCACATGGAAAAAAGAAAGAGATCGAGAGGGTTTGGATTTTGAACTGAAGCCTCCTGCAATCCTTCCGTTGTCACGTGGGCAGGCACTGACTGAAGCGACACTGCTGAAGGAGTTATACATTCAGGCCAGCAAAAGCTTGAGCCCAGTCACGGAGAGGTGATTGTGAGTTTCCTACGCTATACGCAGTACACAAAGAGAGACAACTCCGTGCACCAACGAAGCGCCTGGAGGATCAGCCCGATTGCTGACACCTGGCAGTTTGCGTGCGAACAAGAGGGGAATTAAAAAGGGCTTCGGCTTCGTTACCCTAGTAGCTTCTTGTTCCTAGTAGTATATAATGCCAGGAGCCCCTACCTTGCTCTTAGTAGTATGGCCAGGAGCCCCTAGTAGCGTTCTTGTTCCTAGTAGCGATGCCCTTTGCTCCTAGTAGCTTCTTGTTCCTAGTAGTAATGCCAGGAGGTAGCTTCTTGCTCCTAGTCGCGATGCCCGTTGTTACTAGTAGCTTCTTGTTCCGGGCACCAAGCTGGTTGCAAGCACCTTCCATCGATTTTCTTCCTTTCTGCTGGTCGCCAACCCTCGGGATCCATGCATCAGACACGTCGCCAAGGTGGACATGCAAAACGGATCGAGAAAGATGAATGTTGGCCGTGGACGGCCGGCAAGCACACCTCGCTGGTTTAGTAACGGTAGTGGTCCATCTTGAAAGGACCTGCAACAGAGCCACTGATGATTGAGGCGAAGGGTTTTTGCATGTTACTTAAACTATCTTTTACCATGTTCAACACTTTGGCGCTCCCATATCCTTGGGCCTTCGGGCTTCACGCCAATGTACTCGGCCTGCTCCTTGGAGAGCTTCGTGAGGCTGGCGCCCAAGGCCGGCAAGTGGAGAGCTGCCACCTTCTCATCAAGCTTCCTGAGGGAACATTGATAAACGTCAAGAAACATCAAGAAACCAAGGGCAAAAACTCTAGATAGTTGAATCCCAAAAACGATTCTAGTCAAGCTGTTGCACGACTGGGTGTTGACTAGATGTCCCGCCGAGTGTCTTTGGCAGCAGATACACGTCGTTCTTGTAATTCTTCGCCTAGCGGCAAGCCCATGCAATCTGTCAATGGACATGACAAAGGAGTCACATCATATAACTGCAAACAGTCGCAGCCGGCCTTGGTGCAATTCTCCAAGATGTCAAGCTGGGCCAAGACCTGTGGCAATTCAGCATCAAGAGGAAAGGCATGGCTGCAAGCACATTCAAGTCCAGTGCCTGGTTGGTGAAGGAGCATGACATCACGAAGGATGGATGGCCAGTGGCGCAGCCCAGGTTCACCAGTCGGCCAGATGCCAACACAATCACACCGTGGCCATCAGGGAAGACAAAGCGATCCACCTGTGGTTTGATGTTCTCGACCTTGATGCCAGGGAAGTTCTCCAAGTCCTCCATTGCGATCTCATTGTCGAAGTGTCCAATGTTGCACACAATGGCGTTGTTCTTCATCTTCTTCATGTGATCCAAGGTGATGATCTTGAAGTTGCCGGTGGCAGAGGTGAAAATGTCAACCTCGCCCACGACTTCTTCAATCGTCACCACCTGGAAGCCTTCCATGCACGCCTCACGGCATTGAGTTAGCTACTGTACCACTTCAAAAAAGAGTGTGGTGTGTGTATATATATATACACCGCTTAAAGTTACCTAAATGGAACAATTGCCTTCACGGCACTCGGACCACTCGCACAAAACAAGCAATCACATGTACTGTACCAAATGCCCTTGTGAACACCAAACAAGCCACAAATGAATGTTCATCTGACAAAAATGCATCCTGCCTGGAGAGCGCAAATGGGGTCAATCTCAGTGATCAGCACACGGGCACCAGCACCCCTCATGGCGAAGGCGCATCCCTTTCCGACATCTCCGTAGCCCGCCACGAGGGCGCGCTTTCCACCAATCATCACATCAGTGGCACGCATGATGCTGTCAGGCAGAGAGTGGCGGCAGCCATACACGTTGTCGAACTTGGACTTGGTCACGCAGTCGTTGACGTTGATGGCAGGGAAAAGCAGCTCACCCTTGGCCGCCATCTCGCGAAGGCGATGCACACCTGTGGTGGTCTCCTCACTGACACCCTTGCACTTGGCAGCCATGCGGGTGTACTTGGTCTTGTCGGCCTGGATGGAGTCCCTCAGCACCTGCAAGACACACTTGAACTCGGCGTTGGTGGTGCTTGCAGGATCAGGGAGGCTGCCATCCTTGGCAAACTTCTCCTCCAACTCCTTGCCCTTGTGGACGAGCAAAGTAGCATCACCTCCATCATCCACGAGCTGGTCGCAACCATCAGCACCTGGCACCGTCATCATCTGCTCAGTGCACCACCAGTACTCTGGCAGGGTCTCTCCCTTCCATGCGAAGACTGTCGCAGTGCCAGCCTTGGCAATGCCTGCAGCAGCATGGTCCTGGGTGCTGAAAATGTTGCAAGAGCACCAGCGCACTTTGGCGCCCAAAGCATGAAGGGTCTCAATGAGGACACCTGTCTGGATAGTCATGTGGAGCGAGCCGTTGATGTTCAAACCCTTGAAAGGCTGCGCTGGTCCAAACTCCTTCCTTGCTGCCATCAGACCTGGCATCTCATGCTCCGCCAAAGTCAACTCCTTGCGGCCGAACTCGGCAAGGCCCATGTCCTTCACCTTGGAGTCTGCTATGATGCTAGGGAGTTTGTCTGTGAAGGGTAACTTAACCAGTCGGTCTGTACTTCCTGAGCCAAGCATATCAGGCAATAGGTCAAAGCAAAGGCGTCAAGAAACTGTCACAAAAGCAAGTGAGCAAGGTTGCTGACTGAAACTCCACTCCATCTCCCTGTCCGCTCCCCCAAACGGGCCAGCAAAGCTCAGGTTGAATCCTTCCGGAACTGTGAGCTTCAGTGAATGATGGCCGTGCCCTGACGGGCTAGGGGACATAGGGTGCTCTCATGGTGCTCTCGGCACCCGGATTCCGCACGCAGCCGGGAGTCCGGACGCATGTCTGGGAAGTTGATGGCCTGGCCGGAGTGAACCATCTCATCAATGAAGTTTATCCTGTGAAAAGAACAAAAGTGAATTCAGTGGCAACGACCTTGAGTATATATATATATATGCTTATGTAATTTAAAAACAACAAACAAGCGCAGGTGTGTAGACAAAATAGACAAAGCACCCATTCCATCATCCCTTGCAAAGACCAGGCTTCGACCAGCTTTTGCGTTCACTACGTTTTGCTCGGCCCGTTTTTCTTGAAACAATGTTGAAAACAAGAACACGGGCGGGGCGGAGGGATGAAAAGTCCCAATAGCCGCTCGGATCGTGGATCATCGCAGCGTCCATTTTCTTCGTTGGGGGAGTCCACCTGGAAAGAGGGTGGACTCCCATCCATGACCCACTTGCACGTTTGAGCGAATATTAAAATAGGGGGGGCCCTCAAAGAGCCTTAAGTCAGACTGGCAAGAGTAGGATTGGACCTAAACCCCAATAGTCGGAGATGATTAAAAGACACCTCCCTGTCCTATTCTGTTACATCTTGGCTGATCGATTCAAAGAGAACTCCTGGAGTTCTTCTCACCCACCTGATAGCAACTCTTGGCATTTTGCCGCATGAGCTCCTTGAGGCGCCGGCGCCCCTCCTGACACCGATATATATTTGTGTGAGAGGTGGTGAGAAAGATGGAGGGAGGAGGATGGGGTGCAGAATGATTGCCTACTGGTCTGAATTGGTTGGAGCTATGACACCAACTTGAGAGTCATGGTCCATGGTTTTGATCTAGAAGCGCCCTATCTGCTCCTCAGCAGCCATCTCCTCCAAATCCAAAGAGCTCATACGACTGCACCTAATTGAATTTCAATTGAAAGACCGAATTTTCAACAAATTTCTCTGAGAACGCCCGGCTGCGAGGAACATCGTGAATCGATGCTGAAGTTGGAGCCTCAGTTCCAAGTCAAAGAACTGGTGGAGCTTGTTCTCTCATTCTCCCATTGCATCGGTACCCAGCCGTGAAATATTCCTTCTTGGGCTCCCCACAACTGCGCGCACTACGCACACTGCGCACACTGCGAACGCTGGTTGATCGTGCAGAACGAACGGACCTGGGCACCAAGTAACACGATCAGAAAACATCTCCAAAACCTTGAATCAAACTTGGTATGGCCAGATGTCTCCCCACTGAGATTCTGGCTCTGGCGTCATGTTGAGCCGGCGACCAGTTCCTGAAAGATCCATTGAGTCAAAGCCGATTGCGCAAACAGGCAAAGAACAGGAAAAAACCTTCTAAAGCTATTTGCATCCGTTGTTCTTCCAAAAAATCCATAAACATCCCTCTGCATTCGTTCGAAACAAATCCCCTCGGACGGGCAGTCGAGTCCGGAGTCACAGAGTCTAGGTACAGGACTCGCGCCAGGGCCAGGGCTGGAAACCTGTCGCATTCGCAGGGCTAGGAATCTCTAGTTCAGTTGATTTTTATCGGGAAATGCAACGATGATTGTTACATTAGCTTCTTCACCCCACACAATTCGCGTTTTAGGAGGCTCAACGTCCGAACTGAATATCACAGGTCTTCACTACTCCTTCCCTACACCCACATGAAGGGGGCAAAAACACGAAACCAAAAGCCTCGAGGCACTCACCGCAAAACACCTCCGACGCATCAAACGCCTCAAAGCGTGGAGCTTCCAGGCGCCGTGGCGTCTCGGGAGCCTTGGAAAAGAGGCACTGAACGAACGCGTGGCAGTGGGAGGCCGAGAAAGGAGAAAGAGAGAAGAGCCTCCAGCAATGGCCTCCAACCTGATAGCTTTGGCCACCAACCTAATAGTGATGGCCAGAGCGATGGCCTCCAACCTAGTAGCGATGGCCTCCAACCTACTAGCATCGGCCCCCAACCTTATAGCAATGGCCTCCAACCTAAGAGCAATGGCATCCAACCTACTAGCATTGGCCTTAAACCTGATAGCTTTGGCCTCCAACCTAATAGCGATGGCCTCCAACCTAAGAGCAATGGCCTCCAACCTACTAGCAATGGCCTCCAACCTGATAGCGATGGGCTCCAACCTACTAGCAAAGGCCTCCAACAACCTAAGAGCAATGGCCTCAAACCTTTTGGCACTGGCCTCCAACTCAAGAGCGATGGCCTCCAACCTACTAGCAATGGCCTCCAACCTACTAGCATTGGCCTCCAACCTTTTAGCAATGGCCTCCAACCTAAGAGCAATGGCAGCATTGGCCTCCAACCCTTTAGCAATTGCTTCCAACCCAAGAGCGATGGCCTCCAACCTACTAGCAATGGCCTCCAACCTAATAGCAATGGCCTCCAGCCTAATAGCGATGGCCTCCAACCTAATAAGATCAACGGCTTCCAACCTAATAGCGATGGCCTCCAACCTCATATCGATGGCCTCCAACCTACTGCAATAGCAAGGGCCTCCAACATACTAGCACTGGCCTCCAACCACACAGGGATGGCCTTCAACCTGATACCTTTGGCCTCCAACCCAATAGCGATGGCCTCCAACCTACTAGCAATGGCCTCTAATCTTTTAGCAATGGCCTCCAACCTAAGAGCGATGGCCTCCAACCTACTAGCAATGGCCTCCAACCCACTAGTGATGGCCTCCAAGCAATGGCTTCCAACCTAGTAGCAATGGCCTCCAACCTACTAGCAATGGCCTCCAACCACAGGGCCCCCAACCTTTTAGCAATGTCCTCCAACCCAAGTGCGATGGCCTCCAACCCAATAGCGATGGCCTCCAACCTACGAGCAATGGCTTCCAACCTAATGGCCTAATAGCGATGGCCTCCAACCTAAGAGCAATGGCTTCCAAGATAATAGCAATGGCTTCCCACCATAGCAATGGCCTCCAATCTACTGGGGATGGCCTCCAACCAAATAGTGATGGCCTCCAACCTACTAGCAATGGCCTCCAACCTTTTAGCAGAGGCCTCCAAACCTAAGAGCGATGGCCTCCAACCTGATAGCAATGGCCTCCAACCTACTAGCAAAGGCCTCCAACCTTCTAGCAATGCCTCCAAGCGATGGCCTCCAACCTACTAGCAATGGCTCCAACCCTTTAATAGCGATGGCCTCCAACCCAATAGCAATCGCCTCCAACCTAATAGATGGCCTCCAACCTCATATCAATGGCCTCCAACCTAATAGCAATGGCCTCCAACATACAAGCGATGCACTCCACCTACTAGCAATGGCCTCCAACCTAATAGCAATGCCTCTAGCCTAATAGCGACGGCCTCCAACCTTTTAGCAATGGCCTCCAACCTAAAGCCGATGGCCTCCGACCTACTAGCGATGGCCTTCAACCCACTAGCGATGGCCTCCAACCCACTAGGGATGGCCTCCAACCTAATAAGAGCAATGGCTTCCAACCTAATAGCGATGGCCTCCAACCTCATACAGTATCAATACCCTCCAACTAGCAATGGCCTCCAACCTAATAGCGATGGCCCCCAATCTACTGGCGATGGCCTCCACCCAGGGGTTGGGGGAACGAAAGGGTATGAGCCAAATGAGATAAAGATAGATAAAGCATCATAAAACTAATGATAGCTACCATTAACTTGGAGACAAACTGTACACCTACTGTCTGCAAGAGGCACGCTTGCTGCCAGTCGTCAAGGGTAGTTAAAGCCGGGGCAAGACAGTCTAATCCTTTCGAGTGATGTCTTGGTGGAAGATGCTTGATGGGTATGGAAAGAACCTTCGTTTGTGATATGCACGGACTAGTTCGGTACATGACAACTTGTGTGCATATCCCGTTTTTTGAGGTTTCCATGGTATCACAAAAGTGTATATAGGTGTCCAAAACTGTGATTTTGTGTGCTTGTGGAACAAGACTTGTGTTGGTAAGACTGAAAAAGGGAGATGTTTAAGCTGTCAGAAGACCCCACAAAAATAACAGCAGGGTATCCTCTGCAAAACGAGCTCCGACACGCCAAATTAGGTTCACAAGTCAGCTATGAGACACAAGCCCTGCTACTTACCCAAACGAAGCGCTGGACGCGTGCGCTGCATGCGCTTCGAAGTGCCCGACTGAAACCAAGATTGAAAAGGCACACATCTCTGAGTGTCTGGGTCCCCCACCCGTTGACCTAAGGTGACGCCGATCTTCACGCAAGACGGAATTTCAAGCAGGGCCCATCAGGTTACTGTAGACTATATAATCAAAACAATCCAAACGTTGAAAATGCGTGCGGAAAGATTCTGATCGTTGCATTCGTCATGACACGAGTGTCACTGCGGACAAAGAAAGCACAATCTGGCAAGTGCTCCCTGAGGTCTTTGTTGCTCAGATGCACACAAATCAATTCCCACAGTTTGGGCATGCAAACTATATATTGGAGTTTCCAAAGCAACTAGGGAGGGTCCTGACAAGGTTGACGAGAAATGAACGATTATAAAATATATGAAGTGGTCTTGTATTTGTGCAGTTTCGTTCTGTGACATTTGCTCTTCGTCAAGAAGCCTACATCGCCTCGGTACAAAATCGCAATCACAAAGAAATATAAAGAAATAACAAGATTTACAGTTCACACATTCACACTTTACCCTGTACACATTGTTCAACTGGAACCAACCATCCAATGGTCGTGTCCTCCGGAAACAGATTTCAAACGGTTTTGTTGAACCTTTAAGAAAAAAAAAAAGTCTTCAGAGCTCGTCGGGAAGAAACGTCGACTGAGCCGAGTCACGCAACGACTGGCTCCAGGGCGAGGCCGCCGCGTCGCCTACGCCGCGCTCGGTGCTGCGGGGGCGCCAGGAGGTGTGCAGCACCGGACCTCGGTCCGACCGGGTCCGACTGGAGATCTTTGAGCACCTAGGTTTAATATAGCCCCGTTCGTAGCGTCCTTGCTCCTAGTAGCACCTGTTTGCCATGTGTGATTCATGGAGAGATCTCAAGTGGTGCTTTGAATTACACCCCCCAGGCAGCCGCAAGACAGCTGTCCAAAGAGTTCTTTTGGAATCCGATTCTGTGGACATGCCGCACTGAGCGTGGCGTTTGGGGCCTCGTGGCACCGTGAGCTCCTTTCGACTCCCAGAGCGTCCGCGCCTGGGAGTCGAAGCAGAACCCAAACACTCAACTGGCTTGAAAAAGAATTTGAACACTCCTCAGGGCGGTTGTTCTTTCAATAGGTTTCTAGAATGTATCCAGGTAGATATAAAAAGGAAATTCTTCGCACTTTCCTCCTTGTCTCTCACCTCAATCTTTCGCAGCTTGAGTTCAAATCATCAGAACCTTGGCATTGGGCATTGTGCTCGAATAAAGAAGATTCGAAGAAACCGCTATGCTGAGGGTCATTGAGTCATTGAAGTCCTGCTACTAGGGCATTTGCATGCATTTGCCTACCTGTAGGACAGTATCTGCTTGTCAAGCCCAACATATTTAGATGCGCCCTGAGGGCGTTGTTTGCAAGTTTAAAGTGATGAGTGACAGCATTGAATGCAGGACCATTTCAGTTGAATTTACCATGTAAACGGGGAAGGGATCAAAACTCAACTCGCAAAATCAAAGCATCGTATCGTGGTCAACAAGATCTGCGGCCCAGGTGCCAACACTTTCAGAGAGCTTCTTCTGTGCACATGCTCAATGAGCAGGGGAAATCTTTACCAGGAACGTGGAGGAAAAGGTCGCTTTGTGAGAATGAAAATCGTCTCCAAAATACTCTCCCAAAACAGAAAAGCATGAACTTTTGAGTGTCTGGGCAGCGAAAATCCCCGCCTGGCTGGCCCCACGAACCGCCTGTTCGGGCTCTCGCCCGCCGTCAGGCGGAAAAGCGGAATGAAAAAAGGGCAGACGACTTGAACCTGTGCCTCCTCATCGACCTGATTGATTTTTTGGACTAAGCAAAACAAAAATACAGAGATGCTGGTGACTACAGAAAGAGTCGCCTGCCAATCTCCAGTATCACACTCGCAAACACAAGGCCTTGTGACGGGAGCGTTCGTTCCGCAAGCGCATCTCTGAAATCTCATGCCGCTTGGTATCGATGTACCTGCTTGCGAACCCCGACCAATTCGGCAGTGCTCCCGCAAAGCTCGGTCCAGCCATGTCCGAAGTTTGCAATTTCACAGTCAGCAGGCTATGTTCCAAGTTGCCTTTTGTCTTCCACCTCTTCTTGACGCCCGAAGGCCCAAGGTCCAACATATGCAAAGAATCCATGTCACACCTCTTCTCCAGCTCTGCGCTGCTGGGAGCAAGCTGGCGCAGGCAACGTGATCTCATGTGGTTTTGCCACCAAGTGCCCCGGAAAGAAGTGGACTCAAAATGCAACCAACACGAACCAACCTGAAACAGAACGGTGAGTTGAGTAGATCTGTTGAAAAAACAAGCCCCAAAAAATCCATCAAGCTGGCATGAAGTCACCTGTTGGGCAATGGCACCACCGCCAATTCACCAACAAGTGGCACGACTCATGCCCACACATCTGCAAGCATGACAGTGCCGCAACAAACATGAACCAGGAAACCCGCTCTGCCTGCTGCCGGCATGTCAGCACGACAGGATGACCCGACGTCAGCATCTCACTGTGTCAGCAATTGAGTGTGACGCGTCTCAGCTTGCAACCATGACAACATGTCAGCATGACAGCCTGACAACATGCTGACAGGACACTGTGCAAAGCACATCCGAGTGACTGTGCCTACACATCCGCATGATGACAGGGTGCACAACACGCCAGCTTCAGCAATGACAGCACGCGAAAATAACAACTGTTTTATAGTTCACATGATGCATTCACAACATGTTAGAAGCTTGACATGGCAGCGCACACCATACGCCTGCAGCAGGACATCATGTCAGCATGACAACATGCGGGCATAAAACATGACACCAACATAACAGCATGTCAGCACAGCTGAAAGTTGCAGCGAACCTTCCCCACAACCTGCCCCAGAACTTGATCCGGAACTTGCACTGGAATCTGCTCTGGAACGTGCTCCGGAACCTGCTAGTGCACCCTGCTCCGGAACCACCTCCGGAAAGTGCTCCTGAACCTTCTCCGGAAACCCGCTCCTCTGGGTCTTGCTCCGGAACCTGTTGTGGAGCCTTTTCTGGAACTTTCTCCGGAACCTATTCTGAAACCTGCTGCAAAACCCGGTCCGAAACCTCCTACGGAACCTGCTCCGGAAACTGCTCCAGGACCTACTCCGGCACCTTAAGCTTCGCTGTTGGGGAATATGTGTGTGTGTGCCCCTTGTAGTCACAGTGATTTTTTTGGATTGTTTTTCTTTGCGCAATGAAGAGGGGGACCATCCATGTGCTGTGAGCGATGGTCCAACGAAGCGGCCACAGTACATGCGGATATCACGGCTGATCACCGTGACGTACCTGCGATGGTTTGAACTTTTGAACCAGTTGTGACCCCACACTCCTGTAAAGGTCTAATGCATCTGCAGATGTGCACGTACGACGTCAACCTCCGACTCCGGCTTACGTTTTTTGGGCCACATTTCCTCTTGAAGACCCCCAGGCTCGTTAGACCTTTCCTGGACCTTTCAGGATTTGGGTTTCCGTGGACCCGTCGAACGGGCGTCTGTCCTTATCTCCCCTGCCCGGAGATGTACGTGCCCAGAGCGGGCGTAGGAGGCTTATGCCAAAGTTATTTGCCAAGACATGCCGAATTATTGAATTCCAAGTTGGCTTATGCCTTTACGTGACCGCAGCGGTCAAAGCAGCCAGCCATTTTGGCACGGCGTACGTGGCCGCAGCGGCCGAAGCAATCTAGGGTCCGTTCAGACCCGTCGCTGCCTCAGATGCACACACAGCATGTACATTTTCAACCAGGTTTGCATAGGTTCTCTAGTGAGGTGTGGCTTCATTGGTTCCCGTCCCCTCCATTTGGTTCCCGTTTTCATTCTTTCCCCTTCACACACCTCTTTTTCTTCTTTTCATGTCTTCCCTTGCTTCATGTCCTTTCATCTCACTCCTTTCTTTCTCTTGCGCGCACAACGGTCTGGGCCTTAGTCTGTACGCGCACATCTACTTGTACACTCAGGTTTTAGGTCGCCCAGGTCTCGACAATGAGGTGGGGTTCACCGGTTGTCCCTGTGCACTTGGTTTCTCTTTCATCGCAACCACACACACTTTTGTCTCCGTCTCGTCCTCCTTTTCATGTCTTCACCCTTTTGTCCTTGCGGCGCGCACATTGGCACTTTCGTCCTAGCCTTAATTTTTGCCTCCCTTTGGGGAGGCGTGTGTGTGCGTGTGCCCCTTGTAGTCACAGGGATTCTTTTGGATTGCTTTTCTTGTACAGTGAGCAGGGGGACCATCCATGTGCTGTGAGCGATGGTCCAACGAAGCGGCCACAGTACATGCGGATATCAGGGCTGATCACCGCGACGTACCTGCGATGGTTTGAACTTTTGAACAAGTTGTGACCCCACTCTCCTGTAAAGGTCTAATGCGTCTGCAGATGTGCACGTACGACGTCAACCTGTCGCTCCAACTCCGGCTTACGTTTTTGGGCCACATTTCCTCTTGAAGACCCCCAGGCTCGTTAGGCCTTTCCTGGACCTTTCAGGATTTGGGTTTCTTAGGCTGGCGTGTGGCACCGCTGTCAAGTCAGTACGCATATCCATAAGTGTGTGTGTGTGTGTGTCCACTCCTGTTTCCAAGGACACTACCCTAGTTTTTCTAATCTACCCTACAAGCTTTTCTGTACAGAAGCAGGGGGCGACAGAGTCGCTGCATGGCTGTCGCCAACGAAGCTCCATGCAGTTGACTAGGATATCACGGCTGATCACCGTGACGTACCTGCAATTTTAATACTAATTTTGATTTTCAATCGCTGAGATTTCTAAGTCAGTGCAACGCTGTCTCATACGTTGTTTCCTGCAGTATCTAGATTTAAAGGGCTAATGCACACCGCGAAGCTACCTGAAATCACGCTCCACGGAGCAACCTTCTCAAGTGTGTCTTCGCAGCTTCTTCCCACTGTGGTGAGCTGTGTGATCCCTACGGGGCGCCGTTACCGCAAGAACCTGTTCACTCCTCACCGAGGGAGTAAGTTTCCTGAATTTTCTCTGAAGTCCCTTAGACTGAATTTGACCTGCTCGAAATCAGCTTGGATCGTCTCACCCAGCACACGTGAAGATTACTGCAGAGTTCACTGAAATCCTTTCTGAATCCCACTGCAGAGTTAACTGAAAGAGTTTCACCCGGGAAATCCATTCATACCTTTCCAATCTTTTTAACCTTTCAAATCTTTTTAACCTTCCAAGTTTTAATTCCATTTTCCAGAATTTTAATTGCGGTTATTCAATACACTTCACAATTTCTACGACCTCACGGACCTTATTTATTTATGTATTTATTTTCATACATACATACATATTTTCACTGTCTTTGACCTGCCGAGCAGCCATGACGTATCCCTGGCCCTATTCTTTGCCGCCACACATCCACCCACAATCACAACCTACACAACCTCATTGGATTCAATTTCCACCACAGGCATCACCACAACCTTTTTCAACACTGCCACCGACTCCACCGCAACACCCAACCTCACATCACTACCCATTGCCCATTACACCTCCACCTCATGCTCAATACATCCAACCACATCAACTTCAGGCACATTTTCCAGTGCAACCTACGGCTCCCTTCGACACTACCCAACTTGCGCAACAACATCCACATCTCACAACTCAATCACCACAATCCCAAGCTCACACACATCTTACATTGCCACTTCAGTCTCAATCTCAATCTCAACCACCACCTCATCAACTACATCAACCACATCTACCACATCTACCACATCAACTACCTCCATCACCACACACGACAAATCAAACCCCTGCCACAACATCTTTTCAACCACCACCACTACAAGCACCTGATGTACTACAAGCACCACCACCTGATCCAACAACAATCACTTCACAGCAGTTGACCACACCAACTCCACCACCACCACCTTACACCTCAACAACCTCACCAGCGACTACTCAACCTGCTTCAGCATCCATCACCACACCCGCACAGCCTCCGCCACCACACCACATACCACGCACTACCAAGCCAACACCATCCATTGCACCCACACTCAGCACTACAAGAGGCATTTGGCGCGACCCAGATCGCTCACCACCACGCACACCTAAACACCACCGCTACTCAGCCTTTCCAGCCGTACCTTCCATTGCACCATCACAGGCTACATCCAGATCCAGGAGCCGCACTCGATCACTACGGACCACACGCTCTCCACTACCATGACGTCGAAGCTCCGCCACACAATCCGTGGCTAGTTCTCAAGCTCAATCCAAACCTGCAGACAGACAAACATCACGATCACCAGCAATCACCCAAGACAAAGCTCACACTTCCATCCAAAACATCACTACAGCTGCTACTGCAAAACACACTCCAGAGCCACCTCGCCGTACTTCCAGCATTACACTCAAGCCCAACCCACATTTCACTCCCAAACACTCCACACAACAGACACCTCCACCACCACCACCAGCACCAATACCTGCAATTCCAGTCCAACGTCGACCTCACAACTTACCTCCTCCAACATTCCAACCACCCACCGATCCAGCACAATTGGATGTCTTCCAATGGCTCAACCGCTACGCACAAGCACTTGATGTCAAAAATGAACCCATGCTTTCCTACGTGGCCAAAGTGCTCAGTGCAGCTCATCTCAACAGCACCCACTTTACCGACCTACAACTTCTCACCCACACAAAATGGTGCGATGATACCAACAAAGAAGAACATTATTCCTTCCTACTACTCACAATCCCCACATTAGCGAGCAGGGGCGACGCCCCGATTCTTCCTCCTACACGGAGAGAGGCGCTGAACATACCACCTATCAAACACATTTTTGCGGCACACGTGAGCGAGGAGGGCAACATCATTTCAATACTTGAAGCAGGAGAAATCGTGCGATCCATTCTGCATGATGCTCACAATGTGGGATATTTTTGTCAGGCGTTTGAATTGTCGAACTACGAGCCCCATGATGCTGCTGAAGCTGCACGCGTCCTCTTCAATGCTTCCAACATGGCCAAGAACCGCAGCGGTCTCATTCTGACGATCAAAGCCTATGGACACGGCCAGAAAGTCACTCATGGTGGCGAATCCGCAGCGAATGACTTGCTGCTCAGAGGAGAGGGGATTGTAAAATACACCCCAGGAAAATGCTGGGTGGCCCGTCCCAAACATTCCAGAATCGAAGG